GCACAACAACTAACAATAATTCTTTCAAAATAAAAGGCAGCTATAGCAATCCACTGACCTCATTAGCTCCAGTAGTGTCATCCACATGGAACTCCAAAATGACATCATTCTTCCCTTGAAGCTGAGTCTGTGAGACATCTGCTAAAGATACTTCAAAGGCTTGCTTTGAACCAACTAAAAAGGTGAGCATGTTCCCTGCAACAATAGTATTGACCCATTAAATACTATGCCTTATAAGCATTATCCTCACAGGAAAGTCAGAAACAACAAAACCAATGCTTGACAAGAAACCAGGAGACACTTCAAGCAAAATATACTCACAAAAAATTGCAAGTACATGGGTCGTGGCAAATTACCAGGCAAATATGATAACATCTAACTCTGGCCTATCATATTGGGATGAAAATCAAGACACTAAGATCAGGAAATGGTAATACACTATGCAAGAGTTTGAAACCACATCCATGGGAACCCACTTAAACCACAAACATTGAAGAAAGCAAATCAGATAATCAAAAATATTTACAGCCAACAACTCAAATGACAGAAGATCACCAACCATTTAAATCAATTTCTCCCCAGTTATGACCACTGATGGAAAGCTGCTTCTCTTCTGGTGTTATCCCAAAATTGTTCATGAAGAAGTTGGTCAAATTGGAAACATCCTAGAAGAGCAAAAATATGAGAATAATATAAGGATCATGAAGTTCTCAAGAGCGTAAAACACTAATGAATCACATGTGTGAAATTGCAAATATACATTCTAGACAACAGGAGGACCATGGAATGAAAAAATAAACCACAGCTAAGGCCAAGGCAAGATTTACCGAACCTGGTCCCGGAATCCAGTGAACTTGTAATATAAACCATCTTTGATTCTGACGCCAAGTTGATTTGTCCTAGGGACCTTCATCCATGTGACCGCTAAGATATCAGATTTATCAACTTCAACTGCTTTACCCCCTCCCTGTTTCTTCCATAAAATTCCTCCTACGTAAATTTTTAGCTGTCCAGGATTCTGCATTGTAGAAAAAGAAATCATTATACCCACGTAAGATTTCCATCCCCATTTTTTCCACACCTCCAAAAGCATAATAAGTCAAAGCTGGTATCATGAAAACCTAGAAAATCTAACCGAACTCAACATATTAGGCCAGAGCAAAACAACATTACCTAACCAAACACAATACCACACCACCAAAGTTCAAACGAGCTAAAATATGAATTCTAGAAATAAATATTAAAACAAATTTCAAAAAAAAAAGAAAAAAAAAAAGAAAAGAAGAGAGTACGAGTTCATATTTCAAAAAAGAACAACCCTAAGGCCCCTGCGGCTGCATTAAACATTGCATAAGAATTCATTTCCAGAAATTTATAAAGAAAAAGACCAAAACCAAAAACAACTGAAACAAGCAATTAGGGTTTCGCAATAAGGCAAAGAAAAGGAATACCACCAATCGGAAAACGCTAGGATGCAATTAAGAATCAAATAAGAGAGAGAGTGTGTGTGAATACTGACAGTTCCGCCTCGGCCGCCGAGGGAGATGTTGTTGAAGAGGTGACCGTCGGTCATGGTTGCAATGTGAGACCCGGAGGACCCGAGAGAGAAAGAAACGAGGCACTCCGATGAAAAGAGGGTGAGGACACCAGAGTAAGTGAGAAATGAGAGGGAGAGGGCGGAAAGGTGGTTGTGTTAGGGTTTATATAGCTAAAGGAAGGGGTGCGCATTGTGCACCCGTTCTTCCTGGCGCGAAATGGGAGGATCGAAAAAGCGGGCGTGAAAAAATGGCGGTGTTTGAGTGATGTTGGATGGGCTTAAAGGCAGCCCATTTGTGGATTTGAGGCCTATAGGCTATTGCCCATAACGATTCATAACTCCCCAGCAAGCCCGACCCATAATCTAATTTATCGGTATTTAATATTGGGAATTATAGGACTTTCTGTTTTAATAATTAAAATTAAAATATTAAGAATAATAATGAAAATATTACAACAAGATAATTGATGCATGAATCCATTGAAAAATGCAATGGCGTTACAATTGCTTAATTTCATCCAGGTATTCGCATCTGTCCAGTGGTTGCAGTGTACAAAAAATGGGGACCAATCTATTAATTCAGCACGTTGCAGTCTTTAATCCATTTTTTAGCTTCTTGAGAAATTCAGTTTTTTTAAGAAAATAATAAGAGATAAGTACGGAAAGAAAGGAACCACTAACACTTAGTTTGATAGTGCTGATTCGTAGTAGTAGTCCTTGGTTTTTTTTGGTCTTTTAACATTCTAAGAATATACAAAATATAACAAACGACATAAATAACGTAATGGTTATTTTTTTTCGTTAAAAATAAGAGATATTAAATTCAAGTTGTATGGTATGCGGGTAAGATAAAATAAAAAAGAAGAGATAATTGTCTCTTATTATTCAATCAAGATAAATATATATATATAAAGTATATTTAATTAATATTTTATATATTTTTTAAAAAATAAAAAGATATAAAAATTAAAAACCTAAAACATCAAGAATGATGGTTAAACGAAACCTAAAAAAGATTCTTAAATAATATGTCATATTTTATTATCAATAAAAAAATAATAAAACAGTTATTATGAAATAGGGAAGGCAATTTTCTCTGCGACCGGTGAAGCTTCATGGAGATCCCCGCCACGGGGATAAAGATTTCAAGAATATTCTTCCTCGTGGGACGAGAATGAAGGTAATTTTATACCAATGAAATTTCGTGGAGAATTTTCTCTACCTCATGGGAAACCGTAGGAATCCATATAAAATAAAAAAATATAAATTTGTTTATATATATATTTTTTGTACATATGTTAGCAATTAATTTTTACTTACCCAATCTAATTAGCTAACCCAATACCAACATAACTTAGATTTCACAACCCATTCTTTTTTCAATTTTTCCAAATCCAATTATCAGCCTAACCCAATTTTTTTTTTGTCAATCTAATATTCCTAAACCTAATTGCCCAGCCCAATTAACAGCCCAATTCACATATAACCCTCAGCCCAATTAACAACCCAATTCACATATAACCCTAGAAGCAGCAGGACAATCCAATTTGCAATTATCCAAAGATTTCAGTCTCTTTCTTTGCTTGCCGCTTCTTGCAAATTGCAATTCCTCTCTCCAGTCAGTTTCCTCTCTTCTGCCGCACCCTCTTTGCTGTTTCTTGCTCAATCCTCTCTATCCTCATCTCAACTGTGAATCGACGATTCCCTTCACTCTCAACCTCTCACCGTGCCATTAGCCCGTCACTACAACCACTGCAATGCTCACCACTCACCACTGCTCATTGCTCACCTCCAACTCCAAGGCTGGGTCATCCTCTTTCTGCTGTTGCATGGCCATCTCAACTGTGATTTAGTGATTCCCTTCAAACTTTTAGCCTCTCACTGTGCCGTCACTTCAACCCCTGCAACACTCACCGTTCACCTCCAGCTCCAAGGCTGGGTCATCCTCTTTCTTCTATCATGTGGCCATCTCAATTGTGATTCGGTGATTCCTTTCAAACTCTCAGCCTCTCACCGTGCCGTCACTACAACCATGCAAGTCTACAACGCTCACCACTCACCACCGCTCACCTCCAGCTCCAAGGACCAAGGCTGGTCATCCTCTTTCTATTGTCGCGTGGCCTCATCCTTTGCAACTTTGCCTCATATTCTTTTCAAACTCTCCAACTCCAAGTATCAATCAGATGCAGTTTTTGAAGCTACCGTTTTTGTGCTTTAGTGCTGTAGTGTTTCTAACTAGTATAATTTAATTTTTTTGCTTTAGTGCTTTAGTGTTTCTATTTGAGGAGTTGGAGGAGAATGATAATGAGGATGATGAGTCTAAGGTAAATTTTAAACAATAATGTTTCTTTATATAAATTATTATATAAAGAAATTTTTCTAAAATTTTGTTAATTTGGGGTATTTGTTTTTATTTCAGGAAGTTATTTTCTCAACTTGAAATTATTGATCAAACTTAGCTTAAGTTGCTGCTGTAGAGTTTGCTTTGCTAGATTGGATGGATGTGTACGCATGTGCCACTTCCTAGACTCTTTTATGTGCTTTTTCTTAATGAACTTATTGCTAGACATGTTGGCAACAGTTTATGCTTTTTTTTTTCTATCAACTTTGCTGAATCTAGACATATATGACAGTTGCAATTTATGCTTTTATTTTTTATAAAGCTTTTGTTGGATTTGCTGGATTTATATGGCAGTTTATGCCTTTTTTCTTTATAAAATATGAACTTATTGCTGGCTTGCCTGCTGGACTTGCTTGACAATGACATGTATATATTGGCTGTGTTATTGTGTATATTTACTGCTTGTTTATCTTGTTTTAAAAGAGTGATCTTGATCATCGCTGTTTGCTATCTAGGATTCTGTAAAATTGCTATTTTCTTTTGTATTATCATTCCTTACCCGAGCTTCTATTCTATGTGGTGTTTATGCTAATGGTGGTTTAGTAGCTATTAGCTGATGGTATCTAATTAGGTGAACAATACTAAAGAAGTTGGTGGTTGTGCAAGGTTAGGAACTTGATAGATTGTTTGTTGGTGGATTTCAATTGCCAATGTTAAATGTCATTTTCTTGATCCAACCCAAACCCAAATCAGGGGGTGGAGATATTAGAGGAGATCTGACATTAATTGAACATAAAACTTAACTTCTTAGAAGAACAAGATCTGGCCATGTTATTTTGCTAAGAACAAGATCTGGCCATGTTATTTTGCTTCCTTATTATCTGCTATTTTCCTAAATGGAAGTCCTAGTGTGACGTTGACCCTTCTTTATGTTATATTGCATAGGTTAGCCTTTTCTATACCTAAGCATGTCCTCATTACAAGATAGCTTTTCACTAGCACAGTTTTTGAAATCACAAGCTTGACTTGTTTATTTCAATTATCTCTTGCTTAGAAACAATTTAATGTCTTTGTGTTGCAATGTGTACTCTAAGCTTTTTTAGTTTACTATCCATTTCTGTCTGTGCCTCTGTTTCTTCTTCTGGAAAATAATTTTATGGTTTCAATTCCTCCAAATCTGTTACAGTTCAAGTTCTTGATATGGGTTAATTTAGAGTTGAAACACTAATTATATCGACACAAAACCAGTGAAATAGCAGTGAAAATTTTGATTAATAAGTAGTGAAAATTTTGATTAACAAGTAGTGAAATATATAGGTGATAATTTTATTTAGCAGGGATTTCGAATACCCGTGGAGACTTATTAGTCCCCGTGAGGATGGGGACAAAAGCAATTTTTGACCCTCCACCAAAAATCCCCGCAGGGATCCCCATACCCGCCATTGACGGGGATGAAGATGGGGAGGGGATCCCTGCCCCCGTCGAGACCCGTTGCCATCCCTATTATGAAACCTTTAGAACAACTTCAGATTAAATACACTGATTCTCTTCTCATCAACAACCAACACCAAATTACATTAATATTGTAGCAGCAGCTTCAGCTATCCAATTTCACAATTAAAAATCTTCAAATATCAACATATGTTATTAAATATGATCCAAATAACTCAAATATCAGTATTTTCACCTTCAAAGGTTCAATGTAATCACTAAATTAAATAAAAGTCTCTATTAACTAATTAGTCAAATAGAAGGTCCACACAAATTGCAAGCAGGGTTACTAGTTCTATTTTTAAAACTTTCTTATGTTAGAATATTTTGTGCAAACGAGATTAGAAACTTGGAATTTATGAGTTATAAAAGAAGAAATTTAATTAGTAACCTTCAAAAGTGATTGAAAATTGTTTCTTAGGTTGGGTTTTGCAAGGCCATATGTTAGTTTTCATTTAGATAATTATTTATTTTAAAAATTTTCAAAAACATTTTTTAATTTCCACCAATATCTTAGAGCAAGTACTATTTTTCCTATACATCACTTTATATATATATATATATATAGAAAACTATAAGGAATCTCCATTGTGTTCAAATAATTCTAGACATAAACAGATAAATTTATGCTTGAAAATCATGTATAACTAGTGATATAATGTAATGTCCTAAACATGAAAAATAAGAGAACATGATCTACCTTCCTAGTCCAATCATGCTTGCCAAATGCACTGTCTCAAACTCATGAGAGTTCTTATTTTTCCTTCTTTTTTTTTTTTGAAGCGTGAGAGTTTTTAAATTAAAAATCATGCTCCAACCCTTGAAATAAGGTGAGAGATATTAAAAAAAAAAAAAAAAGCTCTGTTTCATTTCGAAATTTAACCTCTACCCTTGGATTTCTACCAGTGGACTAAAGCCTAAAAAAAAAAGATAGGCACATCATCAGTCATCAGAGAACAGAGCTAAGAGCTTGGTTTCATTTTATGGTCAATGATCAACCAGGAAAAAGAAATGGTAGAACAGAATCAGAAAGACAGTTTTATTTGTCAATCTCTTGAAAAAATTCTGCGTACACCATCTAAAAAAGAATGATTCCCATACTACTACTATAATAACCCAACTCACTATTGATATCATCTGATTCAATTCCTCGTCTCTCATAGTTTTAAATCACATCAATAAAGATTAACAGGTGTTGACTTATATACTTAATATCTCTCATACTTTATCAATACAAAATTTGCCTATGGGTGTCACAACTACTAAAAGCATGTGGCAAATTCTAAGGCACTGAGTAACTAATAGTAAGTAGTATAACATTGTCTACGGTTTGCAGTGTTTCAGTCTTCTAGAGAGGTTTACTTAATTTGTGTAAACTTTGCATTTGTCAACCGAGAAAAACTTAGTAAAATTAGTATTTATTAATGTAAAAATTTTGATTTGAGATCAAAATTAGGAGTTTCATACCCTTACAACGTCAAATAGTTGAGTCCCAATGTACTAAAAAAAATAAACTCATGCATTTGTTAATGGTAAGTATTCAATTGGCAAAATACCCAAAACGCCAAAAATACATGTTTAATGTTCCTTTTTCAATTCCCTTTACTCTTCAGCCTTCTGAACTGCAGTAGAATAACAATTGTCTTGTGAATTTTTCAAGTGCTTATGATGACGAAGAAGCTGTTGCAAGGGCATATGATTTAGCTGCACTATAGTATTGGGGGACATCAACTTACACAAATTTTCTGGCATGAATATGCATCAGTAATTTCATAAATAGCTTGTACTGAATACATAATCGAATCATCTAACTCACTGGCTGTCTTTTTCAGCAGATTTCGGAATATGAGAAAGAGATTGAAATAATGCAAACAATGACAAAAGAAGAGTACTTGGCCTCATTAAGAAGGTAAGGCTTCATCTGTCAAGTACGCTTCAATCTCCAAATGAATACCAAAAGGATCCTTTTTGCTGAAAAAAACCATGTGAGATGCTGAAATTCATTTTCCACACAGAAAGAGCAGTGGATTCTCAAGAGGAGTATCCAAATACAGGGGAGTTGCAAGGTAATCTTCTTTACAATTCTGTGAAACAACTTGTTAAATACTAATTCAGACAGATTTTCTAATTCTCCTTGGTTTTGATTTTCATAAATAAAATTATTTCAATTATCTCTCATGTTCATGAATCATGAATTTTATAAGCAGTTATTCTATTTCTATTACTTTATCAAGATAGATAGAGACTATGAAAGCCAATAAAGCATTTGTGTAGTGATCAAAGAGCTGGTTGGAGTCAAGAGAGGTTCTGAATTCAATCATTCAAAAATAGTGTAAAGAAGAACATGAACTAATTATAAGGCTTTCCCAAAAAGAAAAAAAAAAATTATAAGGTTTTTCCTTCAGTAGTCTCTGCAAGGAATGCCTTTATTGTTAATTTGGTCAAAATTGATATATTTTGCAAAATAAAAATTGTTAGTAATAAGCAATTCAGAAATAAGATAGGATATCATGTTATTAAACTATCTTTTCTTTGCGTAAAAGTATTAGTTGAGAATATATGAACCATCAAAGAAAACATACTGAAACAAATAAAAATCAAAATCAGAAAAGAAAAGAAAAAGAAATATTTTTTTCCGGTATTTGAAGTATAGAGACAACCGAATTATTGATAAGAAAAAACAACTATTTGAAGCAATACATTCAAATTTCAAACAATAGTCATATCACATATTTGGTAGAAACAAACAAGTTATAGTCCGATCACATCACCCAACAGCTAGAAGATCAAACTAAACTTAAAAATCAGTCAAAACGAAGTGCAAATGAGATAATCTCATTTTCGTCTACCCTCATAATAGACATAATTAATATCATAACAACAATACCAGTCTCAGCTCTTTAGTCTGTATGTAGAAGAAACCAATTCCAAAAAAATCTATCCTTCCAATAGCACTGCCAATGGAATATGTAGGTGCAATCTGGCTCTCTGCATTGAATGGCTAGATCATCTCTACAAGGCTTTTCACACATGTTGCATTTAGGAGGATAAAAATCTATCTTCACCAAAGTGACAGGGTGTTTGTGATCATCAATCCGGAATGGTTTCCCGAGCTTAACAAATGGGGATTTCCAAAGTACACAATTAAGGATGAGCAGAAACATTGCAATCGGCACAATGATAAAACCACCGCTTCCGATCTCTGTCTTCTTCACATATGTCACAATGACATTGACTTAGATCATGATCATCACGAAAAGTTAGCTTGAGAGCATGATCGTCATATTTGTACCGAGCTGTTTTTGGTAGTACAAGGCATCTATAATCCAAGGCAAAATTGCATTTCTTGTCCTTGCATCTAAAACTGCCCCGATCACCATACTCATGACAACCATAACATTTACCTTCGTATTTATGGTCAAAGAAAAGGAAGTGCTCCTGTCCTTCTATATTTACAATACGAGTGTCAAGAATTTTATTACACCGGATGCACATAATCTTGTCGCAAGCATTACAATTGTAGCCAAAACCACTATTCCAAAACCGGCAATAGTCACAATAAAAAATGGAATAGAAAAAGAGTTCTCTTAAATGCATGCAAGTCCAGTGACGCCCCTTCCTGGGTAACTTATGAACACAGCAGTTGCAGAGAAAGAAATTACATTGTTCACAATAGTAAAATGAAGTAGAGATGGAACGCATGCAACCTTCACAACTTTGGCCATCCTCAACCCTATCATCACTCAATATTAAGTTGTGTTTATGGCTGAAATGCTTTATCTCTCCAGGTTTGATTTCCTGAAAAGCAGGAGAGATAGTAGTCAAGTCATCTGATAGTTTGGACTTTTCATCTTCCAAAAGATCTTCATCAATTGCACAATTTACATGAGCAAAATATTTGCAATCTGAATAGCAATATCTCCCATATCCCAGATTTATGTCATCATGACAAATATTGTATTCACGTTTTCCAGCTTCCTCATCTTGAAAGGAATAGATGTGATAAAGTCGATGTGGATGCCTTATTATTTTGATGGTGCGGCGAAGTGAAGTGCAATCTATATGAATAATAAGGCTGCATTCAGCACACGTAAAGCAAACACGACTTCCATCAGTTCCACATGCGTCACAAATGAATGAAATTGTGCCCGTAAAGAGGGTTAACGGATGTTCATGAGTTTCAGCTATAATTGTTTGCAAAATAGGATCCGCAGGTTTGAAGCCCAACTCACAAATTGAACAATAATAAACAAATCCTTCCTTACAAGACTTACTGCACAAATTGCAAGAACATTTCTCTTGATGAGGTGGGGGTTTGGCCAAAAGCATTAGAGGGTGTTTCCAATGGTTATGGTGATGGATCTTAAGAGGCAACTCTGCACATTTCTTATGAAGGTGAAATATGCAATTGGGACAACAGTAGAATGGACTTGACTTGTACATGGGTTCCATACATCCTGAGCAGAATTTTTCTTTGGTTTGAATTTCAATGTCTTCAACAAGTATCAATGGATGATCGTGGCTAAAATGTTGGAGCTTTTGAAATTCTTGAGCAACAAATTGAGGATGCATAGCACATCTAAGGTCAAGGTCAAAATCACAAGAATCGCATCGATAAAAAAATCTAATACTTTTCCAGCAAACATTACAACTATGAGCATAATTTTCCAAGCGAAGGATAAAAGGATGGTGGGGGTGGAGGGGGTGATTAATGATCTCCCTTTGCAGCTCAGCGCATTTCTTATGGAGGAAAAACCCACACTCGCCACAACCGTAGCTGGAACCCTCTAATTCTTCCTCGCATCCAGAACAATAACCCTCTGCTACTTTCCGGCATTGATAACAATAACCCTTTATTGCTTCGTTGCATCCAGAACAAAAACCTTTTCGACTTCCACGATCAACTGACTCTTGATCCACAACTACCAAAGGATGTTGATGGCTGAAATGATTGATCCTCTCCATGACTTCCTCTGAACCAACTCTGAAGAGCTTGGGAGGTAGGGAGGGTAATCTGAACCAACTCTGAAGAGCTTGGGAGGAAGGGAAGGTAAACTAGACTAGTAGATAGCAGCAAAAAGAGAGGATTTCTGGTTGATTGTAATGAGCTGCAGGAAAAATGAATAATGATACCCCAAATTATTTTAAGCACAGACAACGATAAAGCTTAAAGCATGCATGTGATGTATTCCGTGGAAAGCAGATAGTGCCTATGAATGAAGGCTATCTTCAACGGCAACGATCAATTATCATTTTTTCATAAGATTAGAATTGGGTTTAATGTCGGCGGTTATTCCCAAAATTTGATTTTTTTTTTTTTAAATTTTTGGTAAAGCCAAAATTCGAAAGTTACTACCACCCTTATTGATGGTGCAGGTGGCATTCCTCTTCTTTAATCTTTACGAGTAAGACGTGATTCTGAAGAGCCAATTGAAAATGTATAAATGTCAACTTTCTTTAATAAAATAGTAATAGGGAAAGTTGTTCTTAACGCATCATTTATAAACTTAACTTTTACTTGTTAGAGGTACGGGTGTTCGCAGTGTAATTTAGTTCAGATTTTATTATTTTTTAAATCAATCTAATTTAATCGGTTAATAAAATTTTTAAACCAATCTAATCTATTATTATGTGATAATCAAATCAATCCAATTTAAATCAGATCGATATGGTTCGATTGGATTGATTGGTTTTTAATATTACTAAATATATAAGATAATGTAAAAATATTTTAATATCAAATAGAAAGTATAACTATAAAATACATTAACATCAAAATCAGTAAAAACATAATAATAGGTAAAAATCATAACAAATTCTTACACTCCTTTGTAAAAATTGAAAAACTCTGAAAATTCTTTTTGGTTACATCACTAGAGGCATAAAAAACAATAAAAAATAACTTCAAATTTCTAATATAACGTAAATAATTCTTGAAAATTAAAATTAGTTTTTTTTTCTTAATGCACTAATAATTTAATCTCATTTTCTAAATCATATTAAAAGTGAATAACATTTAACATGAATATTACTAAAATTGATTAGAAGCATTCATAATCAAAATTTAAAAAGTCTAAACCAAATATCCAAAAATAGTAAAATATTAGGACTAATTTTATTATATAGTTTTAAGGATTTTAGAATAATATTTATTTAAAATTTAGTTAGGAGAATCATAAGATTATTTTAAGAATAAATTAGAAATTTAGGGTTTTAAGAGTACATGCGCAAACCAATTTTGAAATGATAGAGTTGCAGGTGAATTAAAAATTTAGAATTAAGGTTAGAGTGTATGATTAAAATAGAAAAATAACTTAGGGAATATGAAGATGTTTTATTTTCATTTTTTTAATTAAGTTAATGGAGTTATAATCTTGTAAAATAAGAAAAAGAAAATTTAAAATATTACAAAAAAATATGTTATATTATTTAATTAAATTATCTTCTAATTAGATTTTATTTTGCAATCGGGTAGTTTAGCGGTTTAAAGATAAAATCACGAACCAAACCAATTATATCGATTTTTAAATTTTAGAATTCAAACCAATCCAATTTTATATTAATTTGGATCGATTTTTAATTAGATTGGATCAATTTAGGTTAGATCTATCGGATTGGATCGGATATGAATACCCTTAGTGAGAGGATCTTTAATAAAGCAAAAGTTAATTTTCAATAAAGTAAAGTGAGTCTGTTTTTCTAATTTTTTGTTTTAAAAATTACATTTTTATA